CATTTTTGGGCCATGCATTGCCCTAAATTTTATGATTGCCGTCAAAGTAACTATCAACAGAGTTTCAATGGTTTGTAATTGATCAGTAGTAGGTGCCAAGAATTTGTATATATTTTTCTACTTTATATCAAATCACTCCAAATGAAGTTTTAGAAATACTTGAGATTTGTTTTGAATATGCAAACTAGGCGCCATACCTCGTTTTGATGATTAGTGTGTGATTAAAAAGATGGGAATCAAGTAAGTAGGTATAGTCACGTGATTCAAATACTAACTTGTTTATATTGTATTTCAGGTTGGGAAAAATTAACTGTCGGTAATATATAAAAAAATATAAATATAGATAATAGTTTCAGGTTAATATTTTTAGAATTATTAAAAATAGCGGGAGATGATTTTTTTCAGAAAATGTAAACAGTTTAATACTCTAAAGCTTAGCGATAGCATTTGCAAACATTCTTCACACATCCAATTAGTGTGCCAGAAAAAAAAACGATATACGTCAGAGAAGTATTGCTATAAAAACGTATGTTTCGAAATGTTGTTAACCATCGTCAAGAGCATTTACAACTAGTGTCCAATTGCCATTAGCAATTCGAGAGTGAAAAAAGAGAAATGAGATGAAACACATTTCCGAATGCCGTTATCATGGATAGGATTTTCAGTAGGTACAAAACCATTCTGTATTTATCCTCTGTTTAGGATGACATTTTTATGCACGGGGTCTTCACTGAGATAATACAAAGGGTCAATGGTGGAGTAGTACAAAAATTGCCTTTTATCAGCTCGATATTAGCGATTAGAAGGAAACGTGTAAAGATTAAGTTATCCACTTCCTTCGCCGATTGTTTAATTGAATTCGTTTCTGTAAATAGAAGGTTTCGTCGCGTATGACGTTGAGAAAAGGTATTTTGATGGTAGTCTGTCATGTATATAGTTCACTTAAACCTCCAAAAGTGTTATAGTAACTGTTTTCAGAATGGCGGTATAACAGTAATTGTTATTCAGAATCTATACCTGCTTCTGCTACTATAACAATATACAAAATGAATAGCAGCGCCTGTAGAATTTCTCACAATTTGTCCTGTAAGTATTACCACAAGCTTACTTTACCATTCAAATGTGATTTTATAGAAAATGAGTGAGCAAGAGCAAACTTCGAGCAATGGGAGAAGACTGTTAGAATTATTTGCAGCAGTGTGGTTTATGTCCTTTAACATTTGGGGTGCTCTTATCGGTCCAATTATTATCGTTTTCCTAATTTTTACTAGCTCAAAGTTTTGGATATTTGTAGTTGCATACCTTGTATGGATCTGGGTTCTAGATAGAAATACTGCGGCCGAAGGTGGTCGACGATGTGAGTGGATGAGAAAGTGGAAACTTTGGGCGCATTTTAAAAATTATTTTCCGGTATACTTAAAACAAAGCGTGGACTTTCAGTTACAACCGAATAAAAATTACTTATTTTGTGCATTCCCGCACGGTTTACTTTCAGTCGGGGTGTTTTCAAGCTTTGTGACCGCCAGTGAGGACTTTGCGCAATTGTTTCCGAAACATAAACCGTATGTATTTACTTTCGATGTGAAGTTCAGACTACCCATATATCGGGAATACCTGCTGTCTATGGGTATGTGTACAGGAACACCGGATTCACTGCATTCTGTATTGGGTACAAGGAAAGGAGGTAATATTGGGGTGTTGGTGGTCGGAAGACCGAGTCCAGAAAATTATCCTAGAAATTATACTATTGTGCTAAAAAATCAGAAAGGGTTTGTAAAGCAAGCTATAAAAAATGGTTGTGCGTTGGTTCCCGTCATTGCGTTTGGCGAGGATGACATCTTTAGACAAATAGACAAGCCAAAAACAACTTTCTTTAGGCCATTTCAGGACTTTTTTCAAATTTTTATGGGATTAGCACCTTCAGTTTTCTTGAAGAACGGATTACTTCCGAAACGCAAAGCGATACACGTTATAGGTTGGTTTACCTATACTATATATTGCAAAAGAATTTAAAAAGCCAAATTTTAGTGGGACCGCCAATGGAGGTGAAACGCATGTCTCGGCCATTACAGAACGACGTAAACGTTGTCCATAGAGAGTTCCTAGTCAATTTAGTGGATTTATTCGAAAAGCACAAATACGACTACGTCGATGATCCTGAAAATACGTATCTCATTTATTGTTAAATTATTTGTTGATTTTCTACGAATGCGTAAAAATTATTATTTGAAATTCTCCGGTTTGAGAAAATCTCCATTCTTGGGTCAACGTATTCAGGTCTATGCGTTTTAGCAGTATCTAGTTTCAGTTAAGCGAATGGAAATTTATTTAAATAATATAGGATCTACTATTCTGTATCGTTGCGTGCTGAACGACTAGCTGCGAAATAACAGAAGCTAGCTACTAGGATAAAAGTGCCATCTTGGCGGATTTCTATCAATCACGACACCATTTAGGGGAGCGGAAGCTGCCGTATTATGAACACCACAAGTCGTTCAGTTTTCTGGGACGTGCTCTATTTGTTTTTAGATATACCTTTTGAATGTAATGTAACGTTTCACGTAAGAGGGTAAATTTTACCACAAGGAGGTATTTTAGAGCCTATCCAGATTTTACTTGTATTATATACCTATACGCTGTTTGTTTCACGCAAACCGTTACCTAAAGTATTCAGGTCCTCATTGATAAACTAAATCTGACAATTTGCATACCAACACAGTTTCTCATTTTTTTTAATTTTATTTATTTTTTTTAAATTATCCCTCTGTTGTTCTGGGCCCTCAACAGGCTTGCGCCCAATTACAGAGTGACCCGCATAATGCATTTTAAAGGTGCCTCTGCAGATACTACTCCGGTATTTACCTTACGAATTAGGAAAACTGCAGGAAAGCCTAATTCGGAGTAGCCGGCAGAAAGCTCAAAACTAGTCTAATGTAATTCCCATCTCTGCCACAGATGAACAATTCACCTCAACCCGACCTCCGGATTTACAGCCCAACGCTCTACCAGTTGAACCACAAAGCATGATCTATCTATCGCAGCATTAAAAATTTTCAAGTATACAAGATTTTTCAGAATTTTTGACGTTTGACTGCTGTGCTTTTGAGCCGTATAATTATCACTCCGTTTACTTGAATTTAAAAAGTCTTGAGAATGGTTTAAATTTTGATCCTCTTCTACAGGGTGTTTTAAACTAATGGTCAATTTTGATAACTCCAAATCTTAAAAAATTGTTTTTTTCACATACAACATGTTTTATTCTTTGCACATTCAATTGTATAAAAAATTCTACATCGATCAATTGTTGCATTCGTTATACCTATCTGCTATTCTTTGCGTTTTATTTTAGATTTTCTAAAATTGTGACCGTTATTCATAATTTTCTTAGGAGGTCTTGAAATGCATTAGCTGACTTGATACTAAAACAGTTAAATAAAGATGACATAATAAACAGAAACAAGTAATAATCATGAACGACAAAATATAAAACAAACATCAATTGAGGTTGGGTTCTACGTGGCCACCGTTTTTTTCAATACACAATAGGATCCTCCGATAAACCCCGTTGGTAGTCTCCTCTTGAATTTCTACTACATCCATTTCATCAAAAGCTCTTTTTACCCATACTTCCAGTTCTTCACCAGAAGACGCCCCAGGCATAAAACGGTGCATCCCATCCCGGCGATGTACATCCCGGCGACTTACACCCCGGCACCGTTTTTCCGGCGCCAACCCATCCCGGCGACCATTACTATCCCGGCATCGGTCATCCCGGCGATTTATACCCGGCGACGACCTATCCCGGCGACGGCCTACTCCGGCGACTATTGATTTTCCAGCATCGGTTATACCGGCATTGCATACCTTCCAAACGATCCCAGTCCATCCCCATCTTTCTTTTGTTTTTTCTATACACAAATTTAATATCTTTCAATTGCAAAAATTGAACACTGTAGATTGTCATTTCCTTTCATTTTTCTTGTATGAATAATAAATAGGCAAGGTATGTGAAAGTACCTACTTACTGTTAACGCTCCATTTTTTAGGTATATGCAGTGTGTCCGTTCGATAGAAAGAAGGATACATCAGCAAAGTGTTGTAGAATTCTGAGCTGATTTGAAATCATTTTAAATTTAAGCAATCTCATTTTTTTTGTTTTCAAGATATTTGAAAACAGCAAATTGCCGGTACGACCGAAGCCAGGACGTGCACTGTTGCCGGGATGGTCATCGCCGGGATTACCCATCGCCGGGGTTGCCCGTCGCCGGGTTTAAATCGCCGGGATGGCCGAAGCCGGAAAGTAAATGGTCGCTGGGATGGCTGGTCGCCGGGAAGTCGGTGCCGGGATGGTCATCGCCGGGATGGGAATAGCCGGGGTGACCGTGGCCGGGCATAAAAACCAGTGGAGTTATATCTGGAGATTTTAGAGGTCAACGCCACGGACCTCTGGCCCCAATCGACCTGTCTTTAAAATGTTCGTCAGAGACATGTAAGCATAGAATGAGCCGGCGCACCGTCAAGTTGAAACCGGTAGTTTTTCTAAGGTAATTTCTCCAGGAACGGTACAATTACCTCTACTAATGCATTTATTTCAATGTCTTCTTTAGATCGTATCATTTAAAAAAGGAATCGGGGGGAAGTAGAGTTTCTTACCACTAAGTTTATTGTTCATCCGTAATACCGTAATACGGTGGCTTCGGTTCATTTCAATATCGCTAATTATTATGAATAAAGATAGGTACATACCTATAAAGCTGGTAATCATGAGCGTCGTTGGGACCACCCTCTAGACTCCCAATAGATGAGCGAAGTGTTTATAAGCGCATAGACGTTTATAATTTGAATGTTCCACTATACAATGCACTGGATCCTCATAACTTCCTTAAATGCGTAACGCATAACAATTGAAGTAAATAATAATAATAATAATAATAATAATAATAATAATAAAACATGCACTACAAAGACAGGTCCATCCAATAAAGTTACACGCCCTAGCACATTTAAAAAACACAAAACTCCTTCTTCACAGAAGCACACCACATTATCACAACCCACTCGTATTCAACCGAAACGCGAAAACCTTAACAGAACTACAGGCTCACAACATACTAAAATATCTCCAGCAAAAACCCAAGCAACCTCTCAAATACAACCTCAAGAACAAAGAAACACCATAAATACAACTAACGCAACATGCACTACAAAGACAGGTCCACCCGATAAAATTACACGCCCTAGCACAGTTAAAAAACACATAACTCCTTCTTCACAGAAACACACCACATTTTCACAACCCACTCGTATTCAACCGCAACGCAAAAACCTTAACAGAACTATAGGCTCACAACATACTAAAATATCTCCACCAAAAACCCAAGCAACTTCACAAATACAACCTCAAGAACAAAGAAACATCATAAATACAAGTAACGCAACATGCACTACAAAAACAGGTCCACCCAATAAAGTTACACGCCCTAGCACAATTAAAAAACACATAACTCCTTCTTCACCGAAGCACACCACGTTATCACAACCCACTTGTATTCAACCCAAACGCAAAAACCTATACAGCACTACTAGCTCACAAAATACTGTAATATCTCCATCAATAACCCAAGCAACCTCACAAATACAACCTCAAGAGCAAAGAAACACCATAAACACAAGTAACGCAACATGTACTACAAAGACAGGTCCATCCAATAAAGTTACACGCCCTAGCACAGTTAAAAAACACAATACTCCTTCTCAGAAACAACCCACTCGTATACAACCGAAACGCAAAAACCTTAACAGCACCACAGGCTCACAAAATACTGCAATATCTCCACCAAAAACCCAAGCAACCTCACAAATACGACCTCAGGAACAAAGAAACACCATAAATACAATTAAAAAACACAAAACTCAAACTCCTTCTTCACAGAAGCACACCACGTTATCACAACCCACTCGTATTCAACCCAAACGCAAAGCCAAAGAAACACTTACACAATAAACTCCATTTAATAAAATTACAGGAATTATTATAATGATTTTTTTTTTGTTTTGTTTTGTTTTCCTCTTTCCTGATAGCGTTGGCTATTGTGCCCATCAATAGGTATGTTGGTAAGTACGAATTACATACTATCCCTAGATGTCCAATGTACGTGTGTGATTTTTATTATTTTTTATTTTTTTTAAAGGACCCTACATAACTTCACCAGACACAGACACAGATACTAATCGTTACTTGATTTTAATCCGTGCGATTAGTTAACCAGGCTAGACCTGAGTTCTCACAAGAAACACCGACCATAATAATAATAATAATAATAAAGGAAACCTCCAAAAGACGTATGAAATGGGACGAAGGGATGAATCGCTTCATTTTCGGTACGTATCTGGAGATCACGAAGATGGAAACGGACAGGACAGCATACAGAGGTAAACTATATCACGCGTTCATTACACAATACCCACATTTAGCACACTTAACAGAACAACGCATTGCAGACCAACGTAGAGTTATCATTAAAAATACACTCCTTACATTAGACACACAGGAACAAATCAGGCACGAAATTGAAGCACTACTCAACACAAACAACTCACTCCACGTACAAGATAATACATCCGTTCTAAACAACTCTGAAATACAGACATTTGCGACACTGCAGCCATCGATAGATACAAATAATCACACGAACCAAACATTCACATCCCTTCAAAAAGAATTCGGCAATGCATTGTTAGAATTCTCAAACACTGACCCAACGCAAAGACCACGAATACCTAAACAAAGTCACACTACAAAATTACGCACACTGTCACAAACATTAAATGACCACATTTTACCAAATTACATTAACGATAACACAAGCTTACATCAACTACACTTTGTTGTGTATTGCGGTGCGGTTGCAGTTTCTAGATGCAACGGTGCAAGAATAGCAATAAACAAACAACAGCACACAACAAAAAAACGCTCACCCCCGGCCTGGGAAAAACGCCTGATAACTCGCATCGATGACATCAGACGTGACTTAGGTCGGATTACACAATACATAAAAGGAACTCGTTCTTCAAAACTAACACGACAAGTACAACATATAACTACAAAACTAAACAATCACACCACACGAGAACAAAATACAAACTATAACGAACATAGAGATACACTGACACAAAAACTATCAATATACACAAACCGTTTAAAACGCTATAGGGAAACTGCAGATAGAAAGCGCCATAACACACAATTTAAACATAACGAAAAACTATTTTACAGATCACTAACACAAAACAGCACTAATGAAAAACTAATTCCACCATCTCTACACTCACTCCAGCAATACTGGTCTGACTTATGGACCAAAGACATTAAACACAATCCACAAGCCCCGTGGATTACCACAGAAACCACACGTACTGAATACATTACCCCTATGAATAACACAAACATCACTACAACAGACATCATTCAAACTATTAATCACTTACATAACTGGAAAAGTCCAGGCATTGATAACATTCACAACTTTTGGTGGAAATATTTTACCTACACTCACTCTTACCTTGCACAACAATTTAC